GCTGATGAGAAGAGGGCCTTTACTGAGAGGGGCCAAGGCCATGTCTGCAGTGGGCTGTGACCTGTCCCCAGCCCAGGGCCAAACCTGGCCTGGCACTCCCAGGCATTGTTTCCTTCCCAGGCATTGTTTCCTTCTGGACATGAACTCCCCCCACTTGTCCCCACCCATGACATCCTCTGGCTGGTTCCTTCTGGGTGACACTGTGCAGGCTAAACTTCATACTGAACTAGAGGCCCGATGCACAGAATTCGTGACAGGGGCTCGGCCCTGGCAACTGCGGCGGCTTGCCTCGGCAGCTTTCTTTGGCCTTTGCAGCCGTGTCAACATGCCCCGGCCATGGCAGGCCTGACTTCATTCCAAAGGTCATCCGGAAGGACGTCTGGAAGGTCATTCAACTGTCCAGTCTAATTAGCATGTTACGCTTTTATTATTTTAGATTTGCAGGCCATGCAGGAATAGTTGGGAAAGGCTCTGAGTCCAAGGGCTTGGCCCGAGCAGGGCTAGCACGCTCGCTGGATGACTCTGAGACAGTCACTCAGCTTCTCTGTGCCTTATCTCCCTGGAGGGAGTCCGCAGGCAGAAACCACACCTCCTCATGTCTGCGTCCCCAGCAGGTAGCAAAGACCCTGGGCTGCAGCAGGTGCCTGGCAACTATGTGGGGAAATACAGACGGTACCTGACTCACGATGGTTTGACTAGGGTTTTTTGACTTGACCGATGGTGTGAAAGTGATGCATTCATCAGAAACCGTACTTCAGAGTTTGAGTGTTGATCCTTTCCCGGGCTAGCAATTTGCAAGCGATACTCCTCATAGTGCTGGGCACTGGCACAGCTCCCAGTCAGCCCATGATCGCAAGGGTAAAGAACCAATACTCTGCAGTGTGGCATTAAATGCACTTTCAACTTACGATATTTTCAACTTACTATATGTTCATCAGATGTAACTCGACATCCAGGAGACTTTTTTAAAGTCATAGAGCATCACACGAATACTAGTGAACATTAACTAATATTACTGCTGACGTTAACATTAGTGTTGTGACTCATGCAGCTTTGATTCCAGAGGTGGGGGCATGGTGTTGCTGGGCACACATTTGCAGACAGCGTCCCAGTGCCTGTGTACCCTCAGGGCAGAGAGAAGGAGGGCGAGGCTAGAGAGGAGTATTGGCCTGCACAGTCTGGGCGAGGGCTGTCTCTCCCCACGACACGGGCTGTGGCCGGAGCCCTGCAGTCCCTGGAGGCTGCTTCCTTCTCTCCTGGGGAGGGAGTGGGGGGCATGAGCAGCTATCTGCCCGCAGAGGTCTGGCCCTTGACAGACAGCATGGACTGGTCCCGGAGCCAGGGGCTGGGGAGACAGAGTGTAGATGATGCCCTTTGGCGCATTCCCAGCCTTTCTCGAGATTCGAGAAAACAAGTTATTAGTCCAGACTGTTCCTTAATGATCTAATGAGAGCAAGGCAGCCAGACGGTCTGGTTGAGAGCCCCTGCCGGGGCCTGGGGAGGCACCTGCAATCACTAGGGCTCTTTTGGTGGCTGAAGGGGTTAGGAGTCACACCTTACCTCTCTGGGGGGAAGTGGTCCCAACACCTGGGAGGATGGGTGAGGATAGGGGAGTAGCTGTTAGCTTGGTAGGTTGCTAACTTGACATTCCCACCTCGATTCATAATTTTATTTTTTGTTTAAGTTGGAAGGGTCCTTGGCGTCCACACCCTCCGTTTGTAGAGAAGACTAAGGCTCAGAGAGGGGAAGAGGCTTATGCAGAGCTCCCATCCGGCTTTTCCTGTCTCGAAAGCCTGGATCCTACCCCCCCTCCTTTTTTTTACTTGTTACACTATTTTTTAAAAATATATTTTATTGATTTTTTACAGAGAGGAAGGGAGAGGGATAGAGAGTTAGAAACATCGATGAGAGAGAAACATCGATCAGCTGCTTCCTACATTCCCAACTGGGGATGTGCCCGCAACCAAGGTACATGCCCTTGACCAGAATCGAACCTGGGACCCTTGAGTCTGCAGGCTGACGCTCTATCCACTGAGCCAAACCAGTTAGGGCGTTACACTATTTTTTAAGGCTTAAAGAACATTCCAAGAAAAGAATCAGGACCCTGAAAAAAATAATCTATGCTATTCAGTTACTCTCACTCGGAGAAGCTGTTAGCTCTAATAACCTTTCCAAATTAATAAAATCTGTAAATGCTCGATTGTTTATTGCACACATTGCGTTACACTTCTAAAGGACTGGTGGGAATGCATGCCCATCTGGAGTGCTGAGCTGCAGGGCTCTACGGCCAGCACTGCTGTGTTCACCTCCACCCCCGCAGCAGGAGAGCTGTGCTCAGATTCCCTGAGAAAGGGCCGCCCCCAGCAGCCTTGAGCAGCCCACTGAGTGCTCAGCCTTGAGAGAGGGATTGTGGTAGATGAAAATGTAGTGACAATCCCTGACCAGGGTCCTGCTAGGGGTTTCTTGGGAGAGGGGTCACTTCCAGACATGAGGACCTAAGCAAGTGTTTTGTTGGGGTCTATGACATTCAGAGAAAGCAGAAGAGGGAGGCATCTAGAAGGCTTGGTAGAAGAGGGAGCTTGATGGAGGTCCACTAGAAAGAGTAGGATTGCCCGGCCGGTGTGGTTCAGTGGTTGAGCATCGACCTATGAACTGGGAGGTCGAAGTTTGATTCCCAGTCAGGGCACCTGCCCGGGTTTCAGGTTCAGTCCTCAGTGTGGGGTGTGCAGGAGGCAGCTGATCACTGATTGTTTCTCATCATTGATGTTTCTCTCTCTCTCTCCCTCTCCCTTCCTCTCTGTAATCAATAAAAATAGTTTTTTAAAAAAGAAAAAGAGTAGGATTAGGTCAGGTGCGGGGGCACTGGAAAGGGCTTGTTAGGCAGGGAGCACAGAGTGAGCCAACGGTAACAATGGGGGTGCCATTGCAGCCCACGTGCCTGGGGAAGGAGGCAGGCAGAGGACATGGTGAATGGGACTGTTTGAGTATGAGGAGGCCACATTCTGGAGGGTGATGGTGGAGGTGGGCACCAGAGAACTCTGTTTCTCAACCTTCGACACCTCTGCCTGCGACGATGCTGCACAAGCACCGTGCTTGCCAGCCACGGTCTCCCTGGCCCAGAGCCCTCCTCTCCAGTGTGTCCTTGCGACCTGGTGACAGTCTCCCTGTCAGAGCTGTGGATGGCACAGGCCAATTTGAGAACAGGGTTTGGTGGATATGGACGGAAGTCTTGCAGAGAAACGCTGTGTAGGTTGCACTTCTATTGCAGGGGCATTTTTAAAATTGTAAAATATGCACATAGCAAAAAATTTAAGTTGTTAGCTATATTTAAGTGTGCGGTTTAGTGGCATTAAGTACATTCACATTGTTGCACAGTCCTCGCCACGATCCATCTCTGGAACTTTTTCATCTTCCTAGACTGACGCTCTGTACCCATCAAGCCCTAACTCCCTATTCCCCACCCCTGGTAGCCTCTATTCTACTTTCTGTCTCTATGAATTTGACTGCTTAGGGACCATATAAGTGAAATCATGTAGTATTTGTCTTTTTGTGTCTGGGTTATTTCACTTCCCATAATGCCCTCCAGATTCATCAATGCTGTAGCATTTGTCAGAATTTCCTTCCTTTTTAAGGCTGAATAGCATTCCATTGTAGGTATATGGCACATTTTGTTTACCCATCCGTCCGTCGATGGGCACTTGTGTTACATCCATCTCCTGCTGACTGTGAGTGATGCTGCTATGAACGTGGGTGTGCAAATATCTGCTTAAGTCCCTTGCAGGAGCATTTTGAGCTCTTCCCAAAAATGTGCTTTAGGCTTTCAAATTGTCAGGGCCGATCGCTGGCCCTCGCTGCTATCGCTCCAGGAGAAGCAGGCTGCCAGCTGGCCGCTGCCCACGTGCGCAGGCTCGTCTGCCTTTAGCGGAGTCATTACCCTCCGCCAGGGACGCGGCGTGAAGGCCGGACTCTGGCCCATGTGGCCTTCCCACACTCCCTAAGCGGCTCGGTCTGTGCCTTGGCCAGTGTCAAGGCCTCCTCGCCTTCACGTCTTGTCCTGAAACACATCAGTCATGTGGAATTTGTCCCTCACTAAGGTAGCAAGTGTTTGGTTCTCTCTCTTGGTAAGTCCTTTCTCCCACCTTCTGAAATGTATTAGGCTGCAGTTATAAAAGCCAAGGGAATCGCTCATGCACTGTTCTCCCTCCTTGTCCTGTATCCCTCCATCCCCCCGGCCCACTCCCCCCAAAAGAAGGACTGAAGGACATCCTTTCATGAAGCATCACTACTTCTGGGCATTAATTGCCTCTGCAGACCCCCAAGTCACTTAAAACACATTAAAGTGGTGACACACTCAGGCAGAAGGCAGGAGGATTCACCGTTGAGGTTGGCATTGTCATTAACTCAAGTCTGTGGTGTCAGCTCCTCCCACACGGAGCGTCCTGCCTGGCTTTAGAGCCGACCCTCGCAATGCGTTCTCTGGCCTTTGTTGGTTTGTGTCAGCTCTTGAACATTATTTAAATGTAGTTTGGGGCCCATGCATGCAATTACCATTGTGTTATTATTCAGAACCAGATTGTTAAGATTCAGGCAGCTGTACAAGGAGATGCCCTGTGCTGTGAGGTCCAATTTAGGAGGGCCTTCTGAGCTGGCAGCAGGGTTGCTAGGCAACCCCATGCTACAGCAGAGGAGGCCTCACTCCAGAGTGGGAAGAAGCCCAGTGCCTTCAGGGAATTGGAGGCAGTGGTCAATCTGAGACTGGCATGGCGCCGGGGAGGGGGAGGGAGGCGGCATGGACGGAGCCCACGGCCTGGGAGGGGTGGGATCCTGTGGGGAGCCAGGGGCACCCACCCAACTAACACACGGTGTTCCTGGGAGGGGAGCGTGCTGCTGGGAGTGAGAATGCAGGGAAGGCGCAGAAGCCGGAGGTCAGCCAGGAAACTGCCGAAGGATGCTCAGAGCAGATGCTAATATGCTTCTCCATCCGTTTCTTCTCTTTGCAGGAAATGAGCAGGTTTGCAGAGAAACTACTGGCCTGAAATTTAAGACAAAGGCGTCGTTGCTTGTGAGTATGAATTCTGCTTTTTTAGGTCTGTGGTTTGACAGTGTTCCTGAGGAGTGGGCGGGTTTCCCTGTTTGGGGAAGGGAGCGTGACCTGATGGAATTGGCTTTCGGCTCTTCTTCTGGAAGGTGCCTCTGGCTGGGTGGGGCTGGACCAGGACTGTAGGCTTTGAGTGGAAGGCTCATGGTTTGAACCCAGCTCTGCCCTCTAAGTGGAGAGCACTCCCACTGGCTCCTGAGAGAGCGTCCTCCCTTGTGGTCGCTGGCACAGGGAGAGCAGGACTCCTCCGGGGATGAGGAAGATGTGCATTTTTTTCACATTGAAGCCACAAACAGTTTGCACAATTCTAAGTTTGGTGCTAGGCTGACCCTATTCAGCATAGTAAATTCTCATATAGGCCCTTTAACAGTGTGTTAAACTAAGTAAGAGCAATCCTATGACCCAAACCTTTCCTTAAGCTGAGAATATCTGGCACTGGCTGGAGCCTCTGAAATACAAGAGAGGCAGCAGCCGGGGCTCTGGGATGGAGCTGCTGTCAGTCCAGTGTAGGGAGAGAGGACATCTGTACATGAGCCCATCGAAACACTGTATGAACGGGCAGACCGTCCTGCTCTGGCTCCCCTGGCACAGGCAGAAATGCTGGTGACAAAGAGCAGTTGGGAAGACTTCCTGGGGAAGGAGGGAGGAGCAGGGCAGAGGCACCAGGGTGGGAGCACCAATGAATGGCCTTCGAGGAGGCTGTCACAGACGTGGGTCTGATGGGGAGCTGGTGAGGTTGGGCAGGGCCAGGTGGTAAAGGGCTTGGAATGGCTTCATAAATGGTCCATGTGCAAAGAGTCAGGCTGGAATCAAGTGCCCCTCATTTCTGCAAATAAAATTAAGTTTCTGCCAGTTTGTAACTCATGCCATGAATGGGTTTTTCACCTTCCCCAAATTCAAGGTTGTATTTGATGTCACTATATACACTAGATAGATTATAGGAAATTCACATTGGGGATCCTCCCTATATTTCTCTCTCTCTCTCTCTCTCTCTCTCTCTCTCACACACACACACACACACACACACACACACACACACACACACAGCCCTCCCCAGACAGCTGCAGCCTAGGGCCTCCAGACACCATGACATCAATGATGGAGACACACCCTGAGCGCCAGATGGACAGTCACCGGGACAGGTCTCCCTGCGTCCACTTGCTTGTCCCCAGAGCTGCTTCTCCCACAGGGAGCTCTGTGGTGCTATGCCCAGAATGAGGGGCAGCTGGGCTTTATTCGTTTCACAGAGGTTAATTAATTACTTGTTCCAAGCAACCAGAGGAAGCTAGCCGGTTCTAAATGTCAAGAACCGCCACCAGTATTTATGTTGAGTCGCCAATTGCATCACGATCGACACCGCCTCACATGGGCCTCACATGCTCCATCAGGTATTGTCATTGTGCAGGTGACGAGACTGTGGCTCCAAGTAGTTAAATGTTTTGTTCAAGTTCGCTCAGCTAATAAGTGGTGGAGCTGACACTCACACCGACTTTCTGCGGCAGGTAACTAGATATCTGATTACTGGACAGGCCTCCTAGGTCTGCCCCGCCTCCTGCTCCTCCTTCTGGGGAGGAAGAGGACTCCTGTGGTCCCACAGGGGTCTGGTTGGGGAACTCTGTTCTGGATGGTCCCTGTTTTGCTCTGCTGGCTTTCATAGATACATGGTGTCGGCCTGGTAGTCTTTGGCTGGGCAGGAAAGTGATTATGGTTCTGCCCTTGAAGAGGGAGTATCATGTGTGCTCCTGTCACCGGGGGCAACCCTCTGGGAAGACACAGGGGGCCTCCATTTGGAGCCATTGGTGACTGAGTTAGGGTGGATTCCCTGGAAATAGAGCCTGAGACAAGGATTCAGGTGCACTGGATGCATCTAGGGAGAGGTCTAGGGAACACTTGTCCGAGAGAGGAAAGCAGGATGGGGAAGGAGTGGCTGAACAAGGATGGGCCAGCGCAGGTCTCTCCTTGGCCTGATCCATGTGCCTTGGACTGCAGATGTCTGTACCGGAGGCAAGGGGAGGCCTCACCTATCCCCTCATTAGCCATCGGGACCCGGAATGGTGCTGCTGACGCAACCTCCAGGCATCATCTTGACCATGAGAAGGGGCCCGAGTCCATCACAGGTGAAAGTCGCTGGGGAGTGGGTGTCCAGCAGGTGGAGGGGGTCTGAGTGGGGCATCTGCTGCATTTGCCACCATGTCTGCGAGCATCCCTGCTGTGAAGACAGCCAAGTGAGCTTTCACCTGACCCGGCAGTAATCTTCCTTCTAATAAGTCTGCGTTTTAAAGAGTGGGGGTATTCAAATAGGAATCAATGGTGTCAGAGTCTGTTTTCACTGAAACACTGTGTGCCTTTTAACTAATTTTATTCTTAATACAATACCATGGCTCTGAATTAAAAAGTACAGAAAGTATACTCTGCAGTCTTCTTCACATTGTTTCTGGGATTCTGTGTTACTTTCCAATGATGGTTTATGCACCCCAACAAAGGTGTGGTTAAGAGTTCAACGGTTTGGTGATTCTGGTGCAGAATAGGTCCCCATGAGTCCGCAGCAGCCATGCTATTCCAGAGGGATGGAGCTGGAATGGGCCTTTTCTGTGGAGAGAGAGCAATTCCCTGAGTTGGCTCTCAGTGGAATGTTCAAAATCCATAAAAACTTACGAGCATTTCCAAACTCCTTAGCATCCCTATGTAAACAATTGATATCAGAATTGCCAATTATTATTTCCTCATTACGACACATCACATACGAAGAGCTTGAGATGCTGTGGTCCAGCCCTTGAAATTTCCAAACATTTAAAATAATTTTAAACTTCCCTGAATTCACTCTTCATCCAGATTACTGCAGTCCTGCTGCATTGATCACACCATGCCATCTGCATATAGTTCGATGACTTACCGAAATGTGTACTAATCCCCAAGAGTGTTTAGATCCACGTCAGACCGCGTGAATCTTCACCATGGTCCCCTTTAATGAAGTGACTGGACTGTAATTGGGAGGTGCTTGCTTTCTCATCACAGGGGCGGGGCCATGATGGACAGGCTCCTTTGTTGGCGAGCTCCCTGTCGTAGGAGGTGTAGTAGGAGGTGTAGTAGGAGGTGTCGAGAGTCGAGAGTGGAGAGAGCGAGAGAGCGGCTGGGTCATCTGTCAGCTGAGTCACGCAGGAAATCCACCCCACGTGACAGGCAGGCTTAGGAGGCTCTGAGAGTCTGGTCTGTGCAGCTCCTTGTTGTTACTGCCTTTATGGCCATTTGCCTCCCTTGAAATCCAGACGGGGCTCAGCCTGCGTGCTTATCTTCCCAATTTTGGTTTCCCAGGTTTTGCCTAATGCCTATAAATGTCCACATAGAACTTACTGTGGGACCACATAGGCCGGGCATGTATGTTTTTCTCTTGCAAGCGATCCCTTGCTTCTGGTTCTCCTTCATGTTGATGCTCTCTCTCAGGTTGTAAGAAAATCCTCTAACTTTGGCTCGACCTGTTCCAGCCCAAGACAGATGTTGGGGGCACTCCCACAGGCAATGAAAAAAAAATCTCATTTCCGCCCAAGAAATAGAATCATTATCTTGATTGAAATAATATCTTGCCTCAACCTGCAACCAGATAAAGCATCAAATTGGTGGCGTTTTCTTATCGCCACCCAGAGTGTGCAGGACACAGAGTAATGGCCTGTCAGCTGCCTCTGGTGGGGCGGGACTTACACGGCAGGGCCCACAGCTCGCGGCCTGATTTGGGTTACACGATGTCTGGTGCCACGTAGCACGATTCCATTCAGGACAAATATTATATTCAAAGGGGAAGTTAGTGGAGAGCCTAGAACAGTGTAAGCAATAAAAGCAACTATGATTATCGTGATTGTTTTTAATTAGACAGCGTCTCACAGATGGGCGATTGCAGGAGTGATGAAAAGCGGTAGATGTTCACATCCTTTCAGGATGTGAGGGTCCTGGCACCTGTATCCCTAGGCCTGAGCTTCCCAGGACTCCGTCAGAGTAAGGGCATGACTGGGCTTGAGAAGGCAGACAAGGTCCTAGTTTGGGGTGGAGAACAGGACAGCAGAGGCCAGCAAACCAGCATCTTTGGGAAGGAAACAGAGAGTGGGGGACAGCGGGGCAGGGGGTCTGGATTCCAGCCCAGGCCCTCCATTTCCACCAGGCAGCTTTGGCTTTTGGGATTCAGTCTCCTCATTGTTCAGAGAGGGTAAATGGGGGTGTCAGGAGAAGGAGGTGAGGCGATGTTTATGCAAAGTCTATAATGCTGGCTGTACCCTCAGTCCCCCCTGTGCCCTATCCACTGTGGGAGGAGGCTCTGCTTCGTTCTGGGAATGTTTGAGTGCCTACTCTGTGACGGGCACATTCTAACCATTTTGCATGTATTAATTTACTTAATCCTCACAACAATGCTACACATTACAACTTTTATCATCCACCTTTTATAAGTGAGAAGGAACAGAGGGGCTCAGTAAGTCACCCTAGGTCACACAGCTGGTAAGTGGTGGAGCTGGGATTTGAAACCAAGCAGTCTGGTCGGAGCACTTGAAAACAAAATAGACTGCATCAAGACTAAATAAAATAGTTACAGCTTTTGCCAGACCTTCAGCTATAATCCTGTGAGAGGCAGAAACAATTCTAATAGCATCTTTGTAATGTTTCAGGAGGCATAGAGGTGGTTCCTGAGGTAGAGGAGGAGGGTGGAATAATATTCTAGCCAAGATTCCTGACCTTGGGCCCCTGGAGGCTCAGATCCTCCTTCCCAGGGCATCCTGCAAAGCTGTCCCCAGCTGGATGCACACTGGTGTGCAGGACTTGTCCCATTTACCCCCACCTGGCCCACCCCCAGCTTCCCGTAGAATCTTCCTGGGCTCTTGGGCTCTGCTGTCTGTCAAGCCATCCCCAGAGAAGGAAGCCATCCCTCACACACCCCCATGCCTGCTTCACTCTCCTCTCTCCCAGACACCACATAAGTGAAA